GTCAAAACCAGCCATCAACAGTGCACAAACTGATCGCACATGACTATACCAACTTTTCCTTATTCCCTTCTCCTGTTTTACTCTGTGCCTTATTCCTCACCAATGGAACACTTTTAAAATAAGCTATGAACATGAGGCCCTTTGTTTCAAGTTCTACTTTCAATAGACATAAGAGAACACATGCTTTATAAATTTGATTGATAATCAGTATTTTATCAGGAATTTGTGCTGTGAATGCTCACAATTCTTTTAAATTTTTATTTAAAATAGATTTTTCTCTCACACAATACATCTGACCACAGTTTCCCCTCACTCCATTGTTCTCAGGTCCACATCCCTCAACTCTCCTTTCCCCTAGATCCACTTCCCCTCCATTCCTCTTCAGAAAAGAGCAGGTCTCCAAGAGACAACAACCAAACAGGACAAAAGAAGATATAAAAGCCCTCATATCTAGGCTGGACAAGGAGACCCAAAAGGAAGACAAGAGTCTCAAGAGAAGGCAAAAGACTCAGAGATACACCTGCTCCCACTGTTAGGAGTCCCCCAAAGCACCAAGCTAACAGCCATTACATATATGCAGAGGGCTTGGTGTAGACCCATGCAGGCCATATGCTTACTGCTTGAGTCTCTGTGAGCTCCTGGGAGCCCTGCCTAGTTGATTCAGTGAACCACATTCTCCTGTTGTCTCCCATCCCCTGTGACTCCTGCAATATTTCCCTCCTGTATTCTGTGGGGTCTCCCAACTCTGAGGGGAGGGACCTGATGGAGACTTCCAATTTACACTCTCACTCTTTACATAGTGCTTGGCTATGGGTCTTTACAACCACTCCCATCTGATGCTGAAGGAAGCTTCTTTGATGACAATTGGACAAGGCACCAATCTATGAATATAGCAGAATTACATTAGGAATCATCTCATTGAATTTTTTGCCAGTAGTGTTTGGTTCCGCCCTAGGTCTCTGTACTATCCAGTCCTGAATTTCTGGCCATCCAGACAGTGTATGGCATGGGGTCCCTCTCATGCTGTGGGCCTCAAGCTAAACCAAGTATTTGTTGGCCACTTCCCAAGGTTCTGGCCCTCCATTGCCCCAGCACATCTTGCAGGTCTGACAGAATGAAGGTTGAGGGTTTTATGGTTGGTTGGGGACTAGAATGTAGAGGTGAGGGCTCCACGCAGGCATCAGCTTGACATCTCTATACTCAATGAGCTGTATGGTCCTTGCCAATGGGGTCCCACTCTCAGTTTTCAGAGAGAGACCTTCTGGTCCAGTGTCAACCTGGGTTATTTAGGGATCTTCACGGAAGCCCCTTGGCGAACAAATCAACCAAATGAAAACCAGTCATATCATTGGAAGCCTTGCCTGGCTACAGAAGAGGTCTAGTTCAGACTTGGTATCCTCCATTACTAGGAGGCCTCACTAGGGTCACTCTCATAGATTGCAGGAAATTTCCACTGCACAAGGTTTCCACATAATTTGAAATCCTCTTGAACTGACAAACTCATCCGTGGAGGAAATTCCAAACTCACAGGTACTCCATCCCTAGAACGATGTACACCTTATAACAGGAATGCTTTCTCTGAGGCCCTGTTGACTTTCCTCCTTTCGGCATAGCGTCAGGCCACTAAATATGGAAAGGCAGCTCTCTCAAAGATAATTGTAACTAAATATGCTCAATTTTATATGCCTAGAATTTTTTTCATTCCACATTCTCATTAATGCTATGTTTTAACATCAGTGCTAAGAAAACTTATTTCCAGTGATTCCAGCATTTATCAGATTTGACATTGCTAACTTAAACTCATTCCCTAAAAAAGCATATGTTGATGATGAGCAGATTTCATATCACTTGAGGATATGTAATTGCATCCATTTAAACAAAAGAAATGTTTGAGGAGCTTATAGTTTTATATATTTTTCAAATCTATCAAGATTAAACCTGTCATGCAGAATGACATAATCTTTGCTCATATCTAGCACTGGATGAGAGAAGGAATGATATATATTCCACTATATAATGACCAATAATTGCTATACTTTACAAAAATGTAAAATATAGCAATAAAATAAGATATATTAATGTAATCTAGAAATTCAGTATGTAAGGCTAAAAATTAAAAATTACCATTATTATCTATGTATAGTACTTGTAAAATTTTATAAGTATAAAAGTACTAAAATAATTGAAAACTTTTACATGTTTAATAAGTTTCTACTAAGTCTAACATATATTTGTTCAAATAAATATGAAAATATGAAAGTTGTTATGTGATCTCACAAATATCTATATTTCAAAATAGATCATCAAATAAATGATGGCACTACAAATACATAATCTGTTAGAAAATATGTCAGCCAACTTGGTGAATAATTCAGAAAAGAGAAGATAACTTACTAAATATTATGTGTTAGACGTTCACTTAAACCTCGGTGGATTTGTATGTATCCTTCCATACAAAAACTCTTACAATAAACATTTATTTGGGTGCAGTGATGGGACAGACTTCTATATATTTTATTGAAAAAAATCAGTTTGGCAACATAAATTTTAAATCTTCACAATTGCCAAATGCTTGGACCTCTTGTTTGCTTTAATGGAGACTAGCCTAACAAATATGGTTGCTTTGACCAGTTATAATGGTCAATTCCTATAATAAAAAAAAGAGAAGTGGAGGCGAAAGACACTTAAAATATTGTCACACAAAAATGTGAATCTTTGTGTGAGAAAATGTGCTTCCATATAATAATATTTCAGTTATCACGAGATGGTGGGAGTAAATGACATGATTCATTCTATATTATATTTTATAAAAATGGAAACCAGGACCCAGAAGGCTGAGTAATTTTCTCAAGAAGGATCAAACATGATAGGTCCTAAAAATAGGTTATTTTATTTAGCAATTGTTAAACAGCTCTCCTAGTTACTGGTTTTCATTCCCTTTCTCATCAGATTTAAAGTGTGTTCCAATTTTGAACACTTAATTTGATACTCTTATAATTTTATGAAAGTTTAATTACTTATTGAAGATGAAAGCACATTTGACTTCCACAGTAATCTCTCCTTATCCACCAAACTGATTTGTCATTTGAGAGTTATACTAAATTAAACTTAATTAAATTAAAATTCAAGTCAAAGGAGCCACAAGCTCTCCTTTTTTTATTTAAAAAGAAAATGTACTTTTTTAGGTTGGTAAATATTGTGGTTTTATTTTATACTTGTGTGTTCATCAGTCTGTATGAAGGGATCTGGGAGGCAGAGCATGGACACTGACAAGATCAACTAATATGCTCTCTAGTAGCTTGTGGGTTTTTTTGTTTGTTTATTAAAAATAGATTCTTCTCTCATCCAAGACATCTTGACCACAGTTTCCCCTCCCTCCACCCTTCCCAATCCCCTCCATCTCTCCTCTCCCCTGGATCCACTCCCTTCCACTTCTCTTCAGAAAAGAACAGACCTCCAAGAGGAAACAACTAAACATGACAAAATAAGATACAATAAGACAAGGCAAAAGCTCTCATATCGAGGCTAGACAAGGCAACCCAATAAGAGAACAAGAGTTCCAAGAGCAAGCGAAAGAATTAAGGACACACCTGCTCTCACTGTTAGGAAACCCATAAAAACACCAAGCTAACAGCCATGACGTATATGCAGAGGATCTGTGCTTCTAAGGCTATGAAAATATTTCAAGACAGACAATTTAAGCATAAATAACTGTTTTTCACAGAAAAATCTCTTGGCTTGATAAATGAGCACAGGACAAGCAAGATTGCATTTCTAGGCTGCAGGAGATAATATTGACAGCTTCTCAGAAGTTTTTCAGGCCTCTCTGGAGATAACAGTACACAAAGAATTGAAATGAAAATAAACCAAGTGTGGGAGGTAGGCAAAAATAAACATAGAACTACCCCAGCAGGAATCCACATTGAAGCAACAGTTATTGAGAGGAAAGGGGAATGTCCTCATAAATTGCCATTAAAAGGGCTAACTGCTACATTTCCAGGGGCATTTTCAATATGTAGAAAAGCTGGAAAATGCACAGCTTTGGGCCAATTTATCTGCCCACCCTACCACATACCTCATTTTAGTATCCTTTGTAATACTAAAACCATTGGAAAATAGACGTCCATTGGGAGAACATCAATTAAGACATGACACAGTGACAGAACAGAATATTACATAAGCATACTTTACATATAACTGTGGAAAATCGAAGAACCATGGGGATTAAAAGACCGAGAGAAGTCAAATCTGTGCCTACGTATTAAAATGAAATTATTTTTATATAATGCTATAAGGTACAAAGGCTGATTATAAAACAATTTATCCTAATTCTAAATAGATATTTAGATGCAAAATTAATTGTCCAAAAGGATGACAACAAAATATGAAACTACTTTAAGATTGAGAAAGACATTTTCTGCCATTTAAGAGCAATTTCTAATATCTTTATACACTTTACTTTAGTATAAACAAATGGATAATTTTGTTATCTGTGAATGTTTGGAAATAATATTTTATAGCAAACAGGACATGGGAATCAGTCTATAACAAAACTCTGTAAATGTTCCTTGACCTTGTAGTAAGCAGGACATGCTATTCTAGAACCATTTTCAGGAGGGAAAACATATTGTCTCATTTGAAAGATGCAGATGTATTTAGCCAAACAAGAACCTGGCTCATTTAAGAGTTTATAGCAAACAAGGATGGAAAGTAGTTTGCATAATTTTCTCATGTTCCTTTAATAGTGTTTATCTTTTATAAGGCTCTTTGGAACAGTTGCTGGCCACCTGTCAATAATGTGGCCTTTATAGACTCAACCTTTTATTGTTCTCATGCCCTTGACATATAAAATCAAGAGTCTTAGGAGAAGTGAGTTTTGAACATGGTAAGAAAATCACTAATTTTAAATTTAAAAGTGTATCTTTTGTAAACTGAAGTAAAGAAAGAATTTTGAATTACATGAAGAAACTAGATGCGTTAGAAAATTCTCTTTAGTAAAGATATTTTATTGGTTTAGCCATATGTTTTCAAAGTTCATATATAGTTGTATTTTAAATACTGGCTGCATGGAAACTAAGCCAAGAAACACCACTTAATGCTTTTGTCTCAGTGTTATTTAATTTTACATGCATTCTATTTGAAAATATTTATTTTGTAAGTATTAATGACATAAATGTTTTGGGCATACAAACAGTTGTTTAATTTATTTTTGGTAGAATAAGACATCCAATGTTTCTCTCCAGATTTGCATAAAATCTGTCAAGCTCAGTGTTTTTACACATATTTATTGACCTACATCCTAGACAGATTTTGTGCAATAGTGAATAAACACAGTCTTACAAATCTGTACACAGGAATACATTTCTATTCATAAAGTGATAGTATCCAAGCCCTAAAGGAGAAAGCTGTTTATTATTCCTTTGCCCAATTAGATTCCAACTTCCTCTAAATTATCATGAACAAGAATAAATGAAACAGATTTCAAACCAAGGGAAGTTCTTCCTGATCTTGTTAGAAATTGCGCACACACCCCACCCACCTCTTCTCACTCATGGTAATGGAAGCTGTGGGGCTGAATCTTAACATTTGTACAGAGATATTTGACGCCACATGTCACTTTCTCAGATCATGCTTGGCAGCGGACTTTTTGTTTCCCTTAATAGAATTTGCATACTGTGGTTTCAAGCTGTATTTTGAACCATGTGTGCTCTTAGAAACAGAGTAGCTAATTGGGTTAACTATGCTTGGTTGTCAAGAGCAATTTTAGATATGGTCTTCATTCTAGCCAGTGTGCGATTATTTCAAGACTGCTCGGAGGGCATAAGTAGACAGCCATTCATCGGGCATACTGGGCTGAAAATCTGATCTTTCGTGAGAGTACTTAATTGGACACACATGCAATACCCAAGGTGCAATGAAAAGATAAGATAGAAGTTGAAGCCTGCAAGGTGCATGAGTTCTTTCAATAATGATTGTGTTGTTGCCTCTGCTTTTGCAGTTACCTTCACACATGCTTTTCTTTAGTGTCTTTATAAATCTCTGCTGCGTTTTTGTAGGATATGCATCATTTAGTTCTCAGGGTGAGTATATGTGAAGCTGAACATGTTGTCTGTGAGGAGTCAGTAAGAATCTGTGTGCTCGTATTATTAGAACTGGAAGTGAACTGTACTTGCATTTGTAACATGTCCTTTTGTCTAGTGATTGAAGTATCCTGAGAGCTTCTTATTAGTACAAAATCATGTAGAAGTTCTCTTGAGCTCCATCTCTTTATCTGCTGCCATTGACATCTTCAGTATTAGTATCTGCCAACTAACTGCTCTCATTATGAACAAAATAATTGAAGGTATTTACACAAGAGTAAACCAGGAAATTAAAAGACACAAACTATGAAATGCAACAAGTTGTTCCACTAAATAAGTCACAGTGCAAAATTTATATACATACATATAAATATCATCAAACATATGTGAAAGATGGTCCACATTTATGTATGATAGTCAATGCATCCAAAAAGATAAATACACAGTATATACTTATGTGAGTGTCCTTATGTGCCATAAGACCACATACAATTAATATGTGCAATGGAAAACTTTTTAAAATCAAAAATTTAAAAGTTTAATAGAAAAATATCAAAGTAAAACCTTACTTTTCTAGTAAGCTAGATTTACAATAACTGATGTCATGTTTCTGTGCATCAAAGCATCAAGTAGAAATTTTTAAAAGTCAGTTATTAAGAAACTGTTGTCAGTTGGCTGTTGTATAGATATCTTAGGAGCTGAAACATTCACTCCAGGGTGATAGAGGGAGAAGCATACAACTCATGAAAGTAATGAAACATAATCTAAAAGCTCAGAAAGTTCTAATACTCACAGGACCCTTGCCCATCTTTTTTAAAGCTTTTCTTTAATTGAAAAAATTCATATAATAGATTTTGATCATGTTTTCCCGTCCCCCAATTCTTCCTGCATCCTCCCCACCTACCTATCCAACTTCATGTTCTCCCCACCTCAACAAACAGACAGAAAAAGACAAAAACAAAACAACAAAACTAAGAAGTATGCACACACACAAGAACTCCCTACAGAAACACACACACACACAAAAACTCAAACAAGCAAAAAACCTAGAAGACAAAAATGACCAAACAAAGCAAAATAAGACAAAAAATGTAAAATATCATTTAGGTCATTTTGTGTTGGTCAGATACTCCTGAGCATGGCATCTAACCTGAAGTGTGATGTATATTCCCAGTGAGACTCCATTGAAGAAAACCGATTTTGCCTTTGCCATTAGGGTGTCAATTGCAGAGAGCTTCTTATGGGTGGGAGCCTGCATTTACTTCCTCTGTGCTTGGACCTCATCTGGCTTGAACCTGTACAGGCTTCATGTGTGCAGCCACAGACTCTGCGAGCTCAGATGTGCATCAGTCCTGTTGTGCCTGGAAGACAGTTGCCTTGGAGTCATCCATCTCGTCCGGCTGTTTTTCTGCTTCCTCTTCCACATAGACTCTGAGCCTTGGGGGGAGAGCTTTGATGAAGACATCCCATTTAGGACTGAGTGCTCAGACTCCCTCACTTTCTTCACATTGTCTTGTTGTGAGTTGTCTATGCAAACAGAAACTTCTCTGATGAGGGCGGAGTGATGCGGTGGTCTATGGGTATAGAGGAGTATGTCATTAGGAGTCATTTTATTGCTATATTCCTTTAGCAGAATAATAGTATCTAATGTTATTAAAATAACCAACCACTTCCTAATTGTATCTAAGGCTCATTCCATGGGAACAAATACCTGACACTGCTAAAGAACCTAAGACTATATAGGTCATGGGCCTCGGAGGAAACTTACTGATGTTATTTTACTCAAGGATCACAGCTCCCACCCAATCTTACGTAAGCTGTAAACAACTGCTAGCAAAAGGAAACTCTCTCCTATGGAGCAGGGTACAAAGTGGGCAGAGAACTCTAGGGATGTAACTAGGTGGGCTTGGAAGTGATACAGATGTCTGTGAGTCATCCACTTGTACTCCTATTCATAACCCCAATGAACTCATTGGTTCACCAAATGAGACTTGGGGGGCACCATTCCTGTGGTCTGTCATTGGTACCTTTTCATGAGGGGACATGAATAAAAATCTATTCACCCAACCAGTCTTTAGAGTAGGGTCAGCACTATGAACAGTTTCTATAAAATTCTTCATTTGGTTTTATTCTAGGAATAAAATAATAAACATTGATGAATTGGTCTAATCTCATAAATAGTGTTAAGGATGGAAAATAATAGTACATCAAGAAATTTTCTTGGGTTGCTCTTGCATTGATTCTGAGTTAGTATCTATGCTTTAACATACCAACTGAGCAGCACATGGTTTATCCTTGAGTCTAATGCAAATGTGCCTTTAGTGAGGTTTATGGTGGGAAATAGGATAACAGTTTTGTTCAAACATAATGTGTGGAGGAAACTAAAACTAAAGCTATGTGTAATTAATTCTAAAGTCTTATGTATGCTACAAAGTTTCCTTATTGAAATGCATTTAAGTTTTATGATTCTCATATGGAATATTTTGCAAATCTGAAAGAAAACATCAAAAGTATAGCAGAAAAATATACAGAGACAAAGTAAAAATAGGATTAAAATATCCTTAGGTACTATATGTTGACACTTTCAACAAATTCAGTGTCTTTTTAATTTATAAAGTATTAACATTAACATCCTAGGACGATATTTCTCAAAATTTAAGTCCTATTACAATTTTATATATGATTTTCATGAAATAATATTTTGGATATACCAAATATCTAGTACTATTTTAAATGGAAAGACTAGTTAGCACAATAGTTCAGATAAATCTTGCTCTTCTGTTTAGAACTTGATTATATCACTTGTAAGCAAAACAACACCATTAAACATCTTTTTTGTTAAATAAAATTAGCTACTATAAGTGCATTCTTTGTATTTCTTCTTGTGTAGATTGATGGTTGTTTTGTTCAGAGGAAAGTACCTAAACCTAAAGCTCTCAACACTTGAGCCCCAGTGTCAGAAGAACTAGATCTGAACTGCAATTAGTTCTATTATTCATTCAAGATTGAATTTGGCAGATCAGCCCTCTTTCCTGTCCTGTTTTTCTGAGCCACAGAATAAGTCCTTTGGCCTAGTTTAATAGTTTTCGCTTTTTTTTCTTCTTCAGCATCTTGCAGACAAAACCTTATGCATAATGTACACATGAATAAAAATAAATGTGAAGCCAGACTTCTTATAGAAACAGGACAGCAGGAAGAGGGCAGCAGCTCTCTCTCTCTCTCTCTCTCTCTCTCTCTCTCTCTCTCTCTCTCTCTCTCTCTGTGTGTGTGTGTGTGTGTGTGTGTGTGTGTGTGTGTGTGTCTGTCTGTCTGTCTGTCTTAGGAAATCCTATAGCCATCTCATGAAACTTACATCTTCAGGACATGTTGATGACAAACAAGGGTCATAAAATAAGTCCTCGCCGGGCGGTGGTGGCGCACGCCTTTAATCCCAGCACTCGGGAGGCAGAGGCAGGCGGATCTCTGTGAGTTCGAGGCCAGCCTGGTCTACAGAGTGAGATCCAGGAAAGGCGCAAAGCTACACAGAGAAACCCTGTCTCGAAAAAACCAAAAAAAAAAAAAAAAGGAAGAAAAAAAAAATAAGTCCTCATCTTCATAACAACATTTTGAAAACCATATAATTATGTGATCTTTAAGTTTATTTGAAAATCTAAAATGTATTCTCAATTTAATACATCAGAATCTGTAAACACCTTGAAAATAGTATGACTTGACTTAGAAAAATAAATGTATAAGAAATGTAAGACCTGTGTCTCCTTAATAAGTGTTCCAGGGTAATAAGCCCATGGAACATACTGAAACAATTAACTCAAGTGTCCGATAAAATACTGAATTATTCATATTTAACAAATGAATGAACCAAAAGAACTCAAGCCATTGCTCAACAAAGGGTCGGACAATTGGGAAGTATTTGTTTGTTTGTTTGTTTTAGGTGAAATTAAATTTCTTCACTCATCTTTATAGTACATTGAGCTTTTTTTTTTTAATTAAAAGGCAGCAAGTACCTTTGAAAAAAGATTTTTGATTTCTTAGCTTTAGTTCCCATAAAGTTGCACTTTAAATTCTATCAGCAACACCGCACACAGCCACTAGACCTCTGCAGTCACAGCCTGCAACAATAAAAAAGCAGGTGAGGGAGAGCATTTTCTGCAAAATAGTTAATTGCCCAGGCAAAGAAAGCCTGCAGGAGAAGGCTTTCATGAGAGACTATTTTCTTTACCAGTTCCTAAAACAGAGTTCAGAATGTGAGGCAGGAATGATGGGTTTTCACTGTGACCAGTTTCTGATGCCCTTTATGAGCAACGATCTCTATCTACCTGAAATAAAGGAAATGAATCAAAGCAAACTTTTAGTAATCCCAGAAGGACCCGAAGTGAAATTGCCCCAGCTGTTACCTTATATAGACACCTTGACACAGTTCGCTCTTGTAGAAGTACTCAGGGACGATCATTACTTTCCAGTCGTCTCGTACAGAGACCTACTTTATAAGATGTCGGGGAAAGTTAATGTACTAAGTCTAGAGACGTCTTTCTGAAATGGGAATAGCCTGTCACTCTGTTCCCGTAGCCCTGCTAACTAACTCGTGCTGATTTGTAGGTCCCTGGGGACGGTGTATGGGAGATGACTGTGGACCAGGCGGCATCCAGACCCGGGCTGTGTGGTGTGCTCACGTGGAAGGCTGGACAACACTGCATACGAACTGCAAGCAGGCTGGGAGACCCAGTAACCAGCAAAACTGTTTCAAGGTGTGTGACTGGCACAAAGAGTTGTATGACTGGAGGCTGGGGCCCTGGAATCAGTGTCAGCCCGTGATTTCCAAAAGCCTGGAGAAAGCTCGAGAATGTGTGAAGGGAGAGGAAGGCATCCAGGTGAGAGAGATAACCTGCATCCAAAAGGACAAGGACATCCCCGCAGAGGACATCATCTGCGAGTACTTTGAGCCCAAGCCCCTCCTGGAACAGGCCTGCCTCATCCCTTGTCAGCAAGACTGCATCGTGTCTGAGTTCTCGGCCTGGTCCGAGTGCTCCAGGACCTGCGGCAGCGGCCTGCAGCACCGAACCAGGCACGTGGTCGCCCCGCCACAGTTTGGAGGCTCCGGCTGTCCCAACCTCACCGAGTTCCAGGTGTGCCAGTCCAACCCCTGCGAGGCGGAGGAAAGCATGTATAGCTTGCAAGTTGGGCCCTGGAGCGCATGCTCCGTGCCACACTCACGGCAAACCAGGCAAGCCAGGCGTCGTGGCAAGAACAAAGAGCGGGAGAGGGAGAGAGGCAAAGCCGTGAAGGACCCAGAGGCCCGTGAGCTCATCAAGAAGAAGAGGAACAGAAACAGACAAAACAGACAGGAGAACAGATACTGGGACATCCAGATTGGGTATCAGACCAGGGATGTGATGTGCACGAACAAGACTGGGAAAGCTGCGGATCTCAGGTAAACGTTTATTACTAGTAACGTCACCGGTCTCCTGTCTGCAGATATAGCAGGGACTTGAGACTGGCTGTGCTGGCTCCTGTAGTAAACATGTGACAGACAGTCCGTATTCAAGGCTGTTGAGCTTTTGTGGATTTCATGCTGTAATTTTTATTTTGTCCATGAGTAGGCCCCACACCACTTGAAGGTTTCTTAGCCCAGGAACAATTCTCTGTGACAAAATATAGCTTCTTGGGCAGGGCATATAGGGCAATGGTGGAGCATTTGCCGAGCATATGGGAGGCCTAAAGTTCAGTTCCCAGCACCACAAAGAAACATGGAGACTGCTTCTTTAAGCCGTCGGTACTCTTTTCCCCTCCAACAAAAGAAAGTAAAATTACTCGGATCTTGGAGTATTGGGATTTTGAATACTGATATTTATCTGAGTGAGTTAATAGAATAAGGCACACTTGTAATCTCTCCAAGTTTATAGCATTTTCAGAATTACCCTATAAACAAAATCTGCTCTTAACAAGCACCTGGGGAACCATACCTAAGAATAATATTCTTGCTGGTTTTATAAAACAAAGTAACTCTCTCCAGAGAAGAAAACCAGAAGCAGCGGGAAATCAGGTAAGTAGAAGGTATTTAACCAGGAGTGGCCTGGCTTTGAAAACGTAATGAATTGGCAGCAATTCCTAGATGGAAATTATTTGGCAGATTATCTTCTCGTCTGTAATGACTACATTATGAAAAGCTACCTCATGTATGATTCATTTGTTGTGAAAATGGTGTTCGTTGAGAATGACAGGAAGGCTATGATTTCTCTGAATTGGCTAAATTTTGCTCTTGGATGAGCCAGACCATCTGGGAGGGGCTATCTGGATCATTTGCATAATTGCTTTTCCTGAAATATTTATGAAGTTATGATTTGGACTCAACCAAAGAAATTATAGCATCATCACTCAGAATTTTATATCGTATTTATTGTAGAATTGGCATTGGGTTTGCTATCTCCTTTATCATTCAGTCTGTTCTCTTGATTAAAAACATAAGATAAATTTCACTGATGTCTCAACCCATATGCCTTGGTGGAGCAGCTGGAGTCTGTTTCTTGTTGCCCCTGGATATCTTGTGAAAGATTACAATTTCCTGTTTACTTTGGAGGTTGGAAACCTAAATAGGATTGTGTGGCATGCCTGCTGTTTTCTCGAATAACCCACTGTCTTTATTTTTTTATTCCTCACCCTCCCTACCTTTACTTCACCTATTCTCATTTATTAATTTCATTACTATGGATTTTCAGATACAGGTGAGAATTTTTTTGGAAGGTCATAGCTTAAATGAACGAGTAAATAAAAATGATCGATTCTTCTCAGACAAAAACTTTCTCTCATATTACCATTGTCTGGTTGCCTTTTGTTTCATTTCAACATTTTACGGTACTGGATACTGACCCTCGGGCTGTGTTTATGCTAGGCAAGCACTCTACCATTGATCTCTGTGCAGTCCTGGCTGCTGTCTTGAAACTATTTGCCACTGTTCCTCTTTGTGAATTCATACAATTGCATTGCATTTCAGCAGCACAGTAAATTACCCATTGCTCCTCCGTAGCCTCTTCCCAATTCTGTTGACTTTGCTGAGCGTGTCTGTTTTCCCCACCTCCCTTCCCCAGGTTCTCTTCATGTATGTATGTGTTTTTGTACTTCTACACTGTATGCATTTTCAATTCACTTCCTATTTGGTTCTTCTCTGACATTCTTTATTCTGATGATTCCCCAGGCTTTTTCCCTGTAATAGTACACTTATCTTGGTTGCTTGGCTCCCACTAAGTAATTGAATGAGCCTCTAACGAGCAACTTTGAGCTGACTCCCGCTGTCACTGGGTTAGCATGCTGAAGAGGTTTAATTTAATGGTGACTACTGGATTAAAAGTGTAATTAGGCTATTAGCTTCCATGCATAAAGTCTAATATTCACATCAGTTGTGGAATTAAGCAAATATACTTAAAAATGTGGGAATTTTTTTTAATCAGTCACTTGCATCCTTGTAGAAACACCATACATGACTATCCCAATACAGTGATAACTACATAAATATTAGTAGGCTATATACATAAATTTAATGTGTCCTAAAATAAGCAAATGGCTGGTATTTCTCTTCAACGTGAATTAGTACGCTGTTAATAAAATTAATTCTAGTCAAAATGTCATGTAAATCCCGTCTTTTGGATACATTTTTTCCAAACTTCACACCACTTCATCAAGGAAGCCAGGACAGTACAGTGTGAACTGGCATGGAGCCACAAATCAGGGATTTAGTCACTGAATTTAAAATATCTTCTATCTCACTGCATCTTTATGATATAAGAGGCTAAATAATCATTTAATAAGATTAGCAATATTCTAGAACCTAAAAGAACTTAGCTAAATAGAGCTAAAATTCTTTGTGAACTTCTCTATAGGCCAATAAAGTGTTTCAAAGAATTACTGCTGAATTGTCCAAGTTAAAGAAAACACATATGCCCTACTTTCAATGAGATCACAATCAATAAAGATGGTAGATGCAAACTACAGCTCATTTTTTTACAACAATAAGAAAATCAGTCTCAAGTCTCTATTGATCCAGAAGTTTTGGGCAGTGGGGTAGTCAGATGTAACAGAGACAAGACACTTGGGAAGCCATTGTGTCTTGCCACTTCATGAACACTTAAAACCTCCAGAGATACCTGAATTCTTTGTGGGGTGAAAATGTTATAGAAATAATATACTTTCCCAGTGAGAAATCACTCTGCTAACTTTGAGATTAATAAAGGTAAAAGCTTTTTAATATAGCATGTTCTGGCTCTGGCTAATGCCCAAAGTGTAGATGGCCTCAAATAGACTTTACTGACTTAAATACATATACCTTTGGCTTATGCATTCCATATATACTGTCATCCTTAAATCTTTCAGGTCCAATTCCCAAGTTACACTTTGAACATTTAAGCAGAAGCAAGAGGCTGCAATTCTGTCCATGTAGGTGAATGGAAAATTTATACAGCAAACATAATGTCAGAAATATTTCTTAAGTACATCAGAGTTCTTCTTTTTAAATAGGTCTTACCCAGGATCATCCTGCCCACCTGTCAGAATTACACTTTCTCTGATAAGAGCACAGGGGACTTAATGGCAAACTAGGATTTAATGGTGGCTGTGACCATTTTTTTGCCCACTTGAGCTGCCCGTTAGAGGCATGTTCTTTGATATGGGGATGGACCTAATGGCTGGTTGTAAATCAGGATTATCTCCTTTTGGTACGGAAATGGAGCCTAATTGGAGGTCCATCTTGGTGCATGAACATTAGCAGAAACTTTCTCAGCAACCTTAAACTTCAACTGTAGTACAAATTTCTTTCTGAGTGTCTAACAAGCCTGTATAGCACACTACTTATCTTCTAGTCATATTGGAAGTAGTACATCTTAGCCAAACTCTACTTTTTATCATTCAATATTTCCTAAGCAAGTTCATTAGTAAATCATTTATAGCATCAAGTTTCTCCTGCATCAAAGGGAATGACATGTCCTTGCTATATATAGCAGGGTCTGGAATAGAAACAAAGGATTACTCGAACACCCTTGGGTTGTGTTTAAAAATTGTTAGAGGTAAGCCTAAACAAGAAAACTCACCTTTAGTCTGCAAGTTGTCAAATGTTGCACATGATAGTTCTAAGAAGAAATTAATCATCAATTCACTTACTTTTCATAAAATTTGGCCCATATCCTCAGGAGAAAATATATGATTTTGCTGGAATATTATAGGACCTAGGCATCTGGAAATTATCACATTTTTAAGCATATTCCCTTTTGAAACAACTAGGTGGGCATACCAGATTCAATGGTAAAGATTGGTGTTGTGACAATCAGTGGGTGAGGCCATGAAAATCCCTTCACTTGGGAGAACACAAGTTTCTTCTTGTGCAACAGTGACTTTTAGCCGGGTTTGAACAGACTCTTATTCAGACTAGGAACTGATGAGATAGTATGTCAAGCATTTCTCTAGAAAATATTGAAAAACAACATGGCCCAACATCAGAAGAAAAGTCAGTGTTCCAACAGGAGCTAGGACACTAAAATATTGTGAAGAAAAGGCTCAGTGCCAAGCAGCCACCTACAGCATGTAGTGAGCACAGTCCTAATTTGAGACTTCTCTAAAAGCCACTTCACTCTGGAATGTTGCTTGCTGAAGTAAAGACTCCTATCTGCATATGAAGTCACAAGTTTCAGGAGTGGCTAGGAAGTGTGCTGTAAGTAAAACAAGACACATTTAGTGGAAGTACTTGACGACTTTAGAAAATACCTTCCATTTAAATGCACTTTGTTTTGTCACATTTTCTAACAAAGGCAATTAGTTGTAATTACAAGCCCATTGGAAACATTGCCAAGAATGGTGGGAAATTCAGCCCAAGAGATTCCCGAGGGACTAAGAATGAATTTGGGTTTGAAAAAGGATTTTTGGTGGTTAAATCAAAAGAAGTAGATTCAGCCAGCACTGGGAAAATTGAATAAAGAAAACACTTATGTACAAATAAAAGGTAAATAAATAAAGACCAGAATAACATAGTAACAAACATATAGAAATACTGACACACCAGAATATAGAGCTCTGATTTCTGTTATTGTTTCATTCTTATGTGGCTAGAGAATAAGCCACAGCGTGTCCAATGGCGGGGGGTGGGGGGGGATGGGTAACGATTCTTATGTGGCTTTCTGGTTATTGTTTTCAAAGTCAGAAACTGCAACACAACCTCTCTTACCTTTAATTGTTAATCAGAAAGTTATATTGCTGTTGAGCAAAATCAATGTCTTTGTGTCTTATTCTCATTTTACCTTAAAATACCAGTTGTTAACTGATTCAGTATTTGTTTTTAGTGTTGCTTTCTAGAGCGACAATATAAAACTTGAATATAAGTTCCGCATGGTGCTGGATGCCTTTTTAATCCCAGCACTCAGGAAGCAGACAGGCTGACCTCTGTGAGCTCAAGGCCAGCCTGGTTTATATGGAGAGCTTTCAAGACAGCCAGGGCTGCGTATTGAAACCTTGTCTCAAAACAGAAAAGAAAAAAGGAAAATTAATTAATTAATTGATTGATTGATTGGTACATGAATGTAAAGTTGTAGGCTTGACAGTGGTCTGAAAACTAGCCGAAACAACTAGAGAAATTAAAGTAATAGATGATCGAAAAAAGTGAATGCAAAGCTGCTGAGATAGAATCAAAGATCATAATGCAAAGGAGTTTCCAGGAAAGCTTGGCCACCTGAGTTTGATCCCCCAAACCCACATAAGGATGGAAGGAAAAGAACCGACTTATCTTAGTTGTCCTCCGACTTCCGTACGAAGGCTGTGACATTCCCATCCTGTCGTCCTCCCTCGGCCCCTACCCATATCTTCTCCTGTGCGTGTACATACACAAACACATGCAATAATAGCAAGAAATTTCTGGAAAGAAATGCTATATAAGAATAGAGAAATCTGTGGCCTCAATTCAATGGTATTCAATGCAGTTTTAAACAACTGATGTAAATTTTCTGGAATGAAGTAGCATTTCTATAAAATTATATGGGGGCAAAACAGTTTGAAAAAGCCTTCCAAATTTTGTGATCCCAACAAGCCTTCAAAAAAAGTGTCCAAAATTGTGGACACAAAAATCTTGTATATTTTCCTTAGAACGAAGCTTATTCATTTTCAGCATGTTCTACCCATCAGTTCATCCTGAATCAGGGAGAATTTCTAAGCAGGGAATCTGAAGTCCCAGCACAGCAGCCCTGTGTATGCCTGTGAGGGTTTCACTCACTTGATGTACTACATGGCTACTGAGAACCTTTCCCACACTGAGTCTTTGAGAGCCGATGAAATTGCAAATTTAATTCTACCCTTACCCAAAAGAAGGGAGAAAATTACCTGCTATTTAAGGCAGCATTGACTCCTTTTAGGTTATTCAGAACCCATTTATAAAATTACTACTGCTTGTGCATGCGTAACAGGCTTTCAGACTTACAATTTTCCTGTAGTATCCAGTGTTGACATGCCTGTCAGCTATTACTCCTCATATCTTGTGAGCTTGCCTCTGCATCCTCTTGATTATGCTAAGAAAGAGTCAGGGTGACTATTTCTTCTTCTTTGAGAGTTGATAGCTAGCAAGAAAGCCTCACTCCCCTCAGAATGTTGCACTGTCAAGGAGTATTATGCCAGAGGTATGAAAGGGCAGCTCTTAGGCATTCTCCACCCTGCTTCTGTGTCCCAGAGGGTCTGTGAGCAGAATATTTAAGAAGCTTCCTAGTCCTCTTGTTTCTAGGATCCTACCAAAGGAAGGGGTAATAGGATTCCCAAAGGTGGGGAAAGAGAAAAGTTGGAATCAGCAGTGGTGAATTTCTCTAACAAAGCAGTCCTCTCCTCAGCTCTAGATCTACCTCAGGTTCTGACAAAACCCTTCTTCTTAATCCATTAATCATTTTAAAGCACAATTTTCCCAGCACCCAGTTCTAATGTGCTTCATCATTACTAGGAGATTTCTCTTTTGTAAATAATAGTTTTATTAAACTTTTAAAATGAGTAAATATGAGTTTGAAACTTGTTTTCTGCTGCCCTAAGTGACAACTACATGAAAGTAAAATGTCAGAACCACAAAAATGGAACATTGGCACACATTACCTAAAAACAAAGCAAAGCCAATTCTCAGGTACTTTTCATTATAATGAAACTGCCCCTAAAGAGCAAACTAAATATTGAGGTGCCAAAGGAGAGGTCATGCAGGCAAAGAACAACCAGGGTAGTGAGCCCTTCCTGGAAGGAAGTTGATAGGATCCAGAATGGCCTTCCAGAGGGCTACTGTGGGATGTCGTTATTAATGCTGAGTAGGTTGCACAGAGTTGAGGGGGGTGATGGAGGAAGAATACAGGAACAGAGAAGCAACAGCACTGAAATCTGGAGGCCAGTATCAATTCGCTGTGCAGGGGTGTCACGTCCACACATTGTTCACAGGTCAGGCTAGATTGTAGGGGGAGGAAGAGTAAGTATCTGCTGAAACCTATAGAGCTTGTGAAATCAAGCTTAGATGTTTGGACTTTATATCCACTGACTCAAGCATCTCCACAGTTATTAGTAATGAGGGTTAAGCCTGTCTCAGTGTGTGTGTGTGTGTGTGTGTGTGTGTGTGTGTGTGTGTGTGTGTGTGTGCAGTTACTAAGGAAGCTCATTCTCAGTCTCAGAGGCATGTTTCAAAATATGAACTGTATCCACTAAAAATTAATCCAATAACTTCTACCCCATGGTAAATCAGATTGGATCCGATCAGATTAACTTTTTGCACCTTTTTATAAGGTTGGTGAAAAGCCATAGTGTTAGTTTCCATTGTCTTGCCATTTGTCTGTTCCCAGAGCATAATAGCAGGAAAGAAATAAAGCATAGACTTGTCTACTATCAGTTAGAAGAAAACATGCTCATTCATGTTCCTTCTACCAAGGGTGTTTACACTCATTTCAAAATACTAGAGTACTCAACTAGTGAGAACAAATGCTAAGAAGCATATATTCTCCACTGAATTCATACTGGGATCCAAGACATCTACTGTGGTCAAAATTATAAAGTGGGACATACACCTTTCTGTATTCACATCCCCAATTAACCCCATTTATTAAACATAATCCATTTCTCTTAAAATTTGTGATTGAATTTATGGATAACCCAATATTCCTCTTTTCACACAAATTCGCGTCTACTTTCTTCTGTTCTTTTCTTCAACTTGATTTCATTCCTTAAAAAAATAGCTAGCAAACAAATGAGTAGCTGACCCATACTTCATATATAAGGACATACATGAACATGTCTACTTATATGTATAAACGGCTATAATCCATATAGTGTTAGGTAAACTGTTGCTTAGAAGAAAGATACAATATTAACCAGCACAGTTTCCACTCAACTAAAATAATGCCTACCATGTATTCAGGTCCCAGCAAACACTGAAGCCCTGAAATTTAAAGGAGTCTTTCCATTTTTAAAGCGTGAACCTTTTAGTAAATTATAACGTGTCGACTGAGAACTATGGTAAACGGTAATTCTTTGAGTTCATGAAACATGTAAAAGAATGTTGCCAAAAGGTACCCTGGATTCAGTTAAGAGAATATAGGCCTATGTTTATTTTATGAGACATTACTTTGAATATGTCTCAATATTATACTGCCAGGTAAACACCAAGCAATTGCTATCACATTGCTAAAATTGGATTTTCCCATTAAAACTAGAAAGTGTACCATTATTAACATTTTAAGTACACACTGGTGCTTCCTTGGCAATTGTTTATTTAGCTTACAACTTCACAAATTAGCATATTTATTTGGGTTTCTTTCTATTTCTGTTTTTACATCTTTAAATTATTACTTATTTATTTTATGTATATGATGCTTGTATGTTAGGAACATACATGCCATAGTGTGCATATGAAGGTCAGAGGGCTTTGGGCGTCAGTTCTCTCCTTCCACTATGAATTCATAGGATCCAATTTGTTTCCAGGCTTCCATGGAAGTGTTTTTACCCACTTTTTCATCTCACCCACGCTGTTTTCACATCATGAAGCCATTAGGGTAGTTTGCCACCAACGTCACTTACTTGTTGTTAATAAAGAACTAAGGCCTCCTATTATGAATGTCTACCGGTCAACTTCTGGCACATTCCAACCATCAAAGTGAACATCAGGGTCACCTCCCAATTCTAAGGTAAGACTATATCACAGTCAAAATGTATTTACCCCCCCTCAACTTTCTCTGGGTCACTTCCTCTAAATATTTTTAAGTCACGTTAGAGAAGTGTGATTGACATATAAAAGCCATACATACGGAATATATAATCATTTGCTGTATAACAGTGTTTTGCTGATTCACTAAAATTACAATGGAGCTTAAAAATCCTTACCACCTAGTGATGCTGTGGCCAATGTAATATAAGAGCTTTGTTTTGCTCGTGTGTTGTTATAATGTCAGGGCAAGCACTCTGTACTGCCAGTAAAATAAAGGCATAGCACATACAATAATGAATAATGGGTATGAAGTAGGCTTCGCTGTCTAGGTTTTTGTAAATACATTCTCTAATGTCTGCAGATGAACTAAAAAACTATTGATACCTCTTCAAGAGAAGTTCATATCCCTAAACAACATATGACTATGTGCAACAGGCTGAGTCTAGTGATAAGAATATATTTGTGAAACCATCAAGGCTATAAAATTATATATCTTGCCTCACAAGGTTTTGTCCAACCCTTTTTATTGTTATTTAGGTTTTACTAATATTTTGTGTGTCAAGAATATATAAGATCTATTCTTTTACATATTTTAAGTATGAAATACAGCATGGACTGCTCTTGTGTAAGTGACGGCTCTGTGACGGGACTATTGAATGAAAGAAAGCTATGTTGGAGTATTTTAAGTACTTGATATTCAAGTTACAGGAAGAGATTTGAAGTTTGAACTAACCTTAAATCAAGTTAGAAATATCCCTGCATAATCTCCCAACACACAAACTAAGTATGGTTCCTTCCACTCTCCTCACTTTTCTTGGTGGGTTTATTTATACCTCACAGTTGGTTGTTCTGTTTGATTCTCTTTCTTAAGATATTGTGAGAGCAAGTTTCCTATGGGAACCAGCACTCCCTATGGGAACCAGCACTCCCTCCAGCAGAATGGACTCTGATTGGGGTAGTGACCTTGGAGCTCCTTGGCAGAAAAAGTGAGCTCACCCATTGTTTTCACTTGTTTGCTGGAATTTGGCTAGCTCCACATCAGTAGTAATGACTTTCCTCTGACAAATAAATCAATAAGCTATTTAAATGGGAGGAAACATTTCAAAAGGGAAAAAAATAATTCTCATAGGGTGAAGAATTAAATAAATCATTGCAAAGCTCTATTTGTATAATCTAATTAAGAATACACTAGCTTGCAAAGTTTACTAAAAAGTTGCATTTCAGTTTCATGTGTGTTTTTTATTTAATTGGCTTTTAAAATTGTTATTCATCCATTGATTACATGACTTTAGGTTTCTAGTCATACTTATATTATGCACTGTTATTTATTTTTCTAATTTTATATAATTTTATTATGTGAGAGATTTTACTTTGATTACAGATATGTGTGCACAGACACTAGATTTTAAAAGGATGTGATCATGGTGACAGTTTTGAGTAGTATTTACTGGGTTAGGAATGATTTCAGATAAACAAAATAACTGTACACTGCTTAGTACAAGCAGCCTCTGTACTGTGAAGTCTTTGAATGCCCACACAAGCATGTGCAGCATAGTGTTCTGGAATAAACAAAAGGAGTTTGTGATGAAGAAAATCCATCAGGACTACCAGAAGCTGAGATTACACTAATTATACTCTTTAGCTTTACAAACCACTTAAAAGTTTGAAAAAGACATGAGCAGACATGAAAGCCAGGCCACAACCATAGAGGTATAAACACGCACAGTTTCCCACTGGTAGGTAGATGTAAACACAGACAGACACTGAAATAGATACATATATCTTAACCCAAATAGTAGATATGAGTTTGTTAGAAACTGTTTTAGGTTGTATGACATTGGAATGCATTTGGACAGTGTGCTGGTACCATTTAAAGCTCACAACGTATTTCAGTTTTTCTTAAACATTGACTTCTCTGCCATGTTCTAAGTCTTCATGGTATTATATAGTGAAAGTGTGTAGGAAGTAAATGGACCAAAACGCACCCTAAAGTTTCAACTCTGTGTAATGCCTTATCCTTGCACTTGAAATTTTAATTTGATTAACATAAGAGAAAATAATATGTAACATAGTTGAATGGTTTTGAATCCAAGTTGGTGAAGATATTTTGTATCTCCAGTGAGTTACACATGATAGAGATCATAGCTGGTAAAAAGAAAAAGTGCTTAATGAACAGATAAATCTAATAAATCTAAGAATCTAGGAGAAAGACTGCTTCTAAATTAGATACAGTCATTGGAAAGGTTGGTATCATTTGATTAGTTCCTGGGAAATGCTGTATTTACTCTAGTCATGTAAGATCACATTCCAAGTCAGCCCACAGTTTAAAGCATACTTGGAACTGGTGTGAGCATTTTTTTTACGGAGGCAGAGAAGATACTAGTTTTACCTGCACTGAGGGATCTGGTGAGAAAAAAAAAAAGCAGCCAATAACCTTGGCAGGAAGGCTAACTGCACTGATAATAAGTCAAATATATCTGGATTTTTCCCCCTTTAATCCTGGGGAAAATCATATCCATGGACAGGAATGGCATGGAAAGCCTGATTGGTACAAGGTATCAACAATGGAAATAGACAATGCAGAAGGAACTCAGGACGAAGTACAACAATAACAATTTCCA